TTCACACTATAACAGGGCTACAACAGAAAACTAACCTTACTCAACATTCCTTCACGCTATAATGGGGTTTCAAAAGAAACCCATCTCTCTTTGCATTCCTTCACGCTTTAAGTAGGGTTTCTTCACGCTATAATTGGGGTACAAAAGAAAACCGACATTCCTTCACGCTATAATTGAGGTTCAAAAGAAAACTCTTATCTCTTGTAGTTTTGGAGATAGCCTATGCGGACGACGAATTTGGGACTCCCTGTACACAAATTTATATTTTATTTTGATTTTGATTTACTCCCTTGGTGGTCATGAAAATATATTAAGGAAGAACGATAAATTAGCAATTTGAATGCGCACAATTTGCCGAAAGAGCAGGCGGGGTCGTTCCTTTGCGCGAAATTTACACTAGATAAAAGTTAAAACGCAACGAGCAGGTCGAGCCGTATTTCAAAGAGAAGGGGAGAGAGAAACATTTTGCAGCACACGCCGGGGAAAACGAAGAGGCAGAGAAAATCTTTCTCATTTTCTTAATGCAGCGATGTTAAAAACGCTGATATATCATCGTTGATCTCGTGGCATGATTTCACCTTCACAGAAATTTACTGCTGTTTATTTCGAACTGAGCCATACGAAAGATGTTAGAATATATTTCACTTGAAAGTTTATTTCTCCCTTTGAGAATTTCTAAAATAGTTTTAAAAATTGTGATGTTTCGATGAAACCGTTGAGTCGTTTACAAGATTTAAACGAAGAAAACATCGACTAATTCATTCTCGATCCGGTTTAATCCTCGCAAAGGATTATCGTGAGTTTCGCGCTCATTCAAATTAAGTTTCGTGTTTAGCGGCTATACCAAAACAAGCTGTTGCTTTTCGGGGACGAATTTAATTTATATTCAGCAAATATCATTTGGAACAGACAACGACAGAATGAGATTAAGAAATAATCGGGGAGTAATCGAAATATATTTAAAATTAAATTTTGAAATCGTCACTATCGTTTGCCAGCGTCCAATTGGGAACAATGAGTAGACGGAAATGTTGAATAAAATGCATACCGAGTCCGCACACCGATTTTCCCGAGCTTTCGGAATTTCCCGACGGCTACATAGGCTGTATTCATAATTCACGGCTTAGTTTCGTTCTTTCTACCTTTGCCTTGTACTTGTTTCATATACAAGGGAAATTTTATGTCCACCCTCTCATTAATTAATTAACGCCTTTGTTTTAAAATGACATTTACCTACTCTACAACAAGAGTTGAGAATAAATTTCGTTAGTTGTTAATTGTAAAGTAACAATCCGTTTTAATTTATTAAATTTTAGAAATAATGTTTATAATTTAAGTTAAGGGAAGCAAAGTTCTATCGCCTTTAAGATGATAAATTCAGTGGCGGCCACCCTGTTGACCCAAACTTCAGAGTATTTACTTCGGACAACGTTGCAATTAGTCTATTCCAGTCGACTGTAAACATCGGAGAACCCCTGAATAAATAAACTACTGTGCTAGTCTTGCGCCATTCTGCACAAAACGCGCTGTAACAACACATACAAAGCCGTGCTAATTGCGCGCCGATTTTCGATTACTTTCGCCGTTTGCGCCACCCCTTAAATAATTAAGTTTCGCTTAAATTTTAAAGTGCCTCGAATTTTGGCTTTCGTATTTTCGCCCTACCATCCCTTGCAACTCGAATAATAGCCCTGTTTTGGCTAAAGTCCGAAGTTTTGGGAATCCAATTAGCGAAATAATAAATTTTACCGAGCGATTAACCCTTAAGGGGATAAGTACTAAGGTAATTTTGAGTTATTACTTAAAATTTTTTATTATAAAAAGAGACATAAAACTTAATAACCAAAGTTATTAATAATAAAAAATAATCTTGATTCGAAATATGTTCGTAAATTGTGAATCAAGAGAATCATAAAAAGTTTCGCCATTTCCAAGACCTCCAACTCGGGTTTAATTCATTAGAGTTTAATTTTTAGCCCTCCTTTAAACTAAAACTGTTTCTGGTTCGAGGTAGAGTTACGAATCAACCCCTAGAAAGTTTTACGCTCCCCCAGGTATACGAGGAAGTACTCACACGCGTTCACTTTACCAGGAACTAAATTGAATCAAGTGGAGTCGTTTTATCGTACCTCCCAGATATAGAATCACGCTGTTTAGCTCCGCATTCGGTTTTCGGGCCTTCGTTGTTATCGCCGGAAGTTTCTCTTGGCCGAGCTGGCGGCGTCCACTGTGCGGTACATTAAGCGTTCTCATGCCGCAAAATCTGCACTGTGCGCCGTGTAATATTGGGGCGAATTAATGCCGATCTGCCTCAGCGGACTCGTACCGCGTATTACTTCCGGTAAATTAGGACCTTCGGATATTGCCCACAACGTTTTGCCATTGTGTAGCTCCAGTTCAGTGTACCACCGGTGCAAAAGCTTCATCTACCGAGAAATGTCAATAAGGTTTTTAAAGCGATTTTCAGAAAATTAAATCTAAAGTATCAACGTGTTGTTGAATTGTAATTGTTTTAATTCGGTTACAAACTAAGGATTAAAAAAGCTTTTGAACTGAGGATTTCAACCACCGAATACATGTTACATAATCGGGTGTTATTAACGTCAATCGCGCATTTATGGGGAAGCCTTAAAATACGTTAATGTAACAAACCGCCCGTATTTTGTAAAAATTAATATTTGTAATAAAATTCTAACGCTTCAATTAACTGAAAAATCATTATAAATATTGTAACCCTTTTGAGAACTATGATAAATAATGTTAATAAGGTGTAATAATGTTGTTAAAGTTATTTTGAATTGTCTTTGAAAATGTCCCGTCTATCAAACCAGATATTTTTTTTGCAAAAATACTACGACTTATCTTTACCCCTATTATCGTCATGAAAAGCTTAAATTTTTTATTACCTTACATAATTGACAAAAGTATCAAAAAAAATCACAGTACCAATATTAGTAATTGGTCGGGTTACTTTAGAAGTATGGCTTACAGGATGAATAGGCACAACAATGCCTTGAGCACAATGATCCGATAAATGAGTGTCATAGATTCTTGTTTCGAAAAGATTAAGAGAAAATTTGTTGTTTAAGTTGAAAATTTATTAGGTCATGTAAATAGCTACATACTATTTTCTTTTGTGCATTTGTCATTTGAATACCTTTGCTACCAAATAATTTTTCGTCAAAAAGATAATTTATGTTAATGTAGAAGATATTTTTGCTATGGTGATATAACACCACATCATCCCAATTCAGTCTAATATTAATTTTACCTCCAATATATACGCAATTATTAGTTGTTTTTGGAAATAGCAAATAGGCGGAAAAAATTCTTTTTAGTTTTCTGAAGCAAATTGCTCGAGTAAAAGCGTTGCCAATAATTTAACCCGGGATTAAGCGCTGCCAAAAACGGGGCGGTACAGTTCGGCTGCGCCGTTTCAGACAAAAAAACGAGATGCATCTCAGCGACGGTGTACAATGGCCGTCGGAATTTATGCGAGAATAGATTAGATAGAACCGGGACGTTCGCTATAAAAACAAACTTATTTGTCAGACCGCGGATGGTTCTCTCTGTTTCATCCTACATTTTATACCAGGAACGCAACAAAAATCTACCCCGAACATCAACCATTCATTCAGCTTTAATCAGAAAACTTCATTGCCTCTATTTAAAAGAGGAAATATAGACCTAACGAAAAAGACATCTACTAAAATATCCAAAATTTAAAAAAAGTAGCCAGTGCAGGAATTAACTTTTGAGAAGCTTTACAAATAGATTGACGCCTGAGGTTGCAGCCAGATATTAATGGATGTACAAGCATTATAGTATGCTAAAAGATCTACCATGTTTAATACAGAGATAAATGCGTTATGACTGCTTTTATTAAGATGCAGAACTTTTGGGCTGCGTTTCAGACAATTTTGTAACTAAAATCTGCAATAACGCAGAAAATGTTATTAGGATGTGGCTTCCGCATCCGTTGTTGTATACGCTCTAGTTTGATGGTGTGATTATTGCACCATCTTGAATAGCACGGGACATAAAGGATCTTCTTGAACCAAGTTTAGGTTTACCTGAATACTATTGGTAGAATCGCAATCTTTCCAGAACTGGACGAATCCCTATAAAAAATTACAATCACTTTACGAGATATTACAGTATGATTCATTTATAAATTAATTGTACACAAGCAAACCATTAAGATTAAAACAATATCGTAAATGGAACGGAAACACATACATATACAACGTACAGTATAATCTCACATTCTCACTAATAGTATAAGCGGCTTATAGATTTCATTAATTAAATATATAACTATGGCAAATGCATTTAATTAGTTGATATAATCGGGACAAAGCGCATTAATACTGATGGCTATATCCAAAAGCTATGGATAGCAAAACGTTCGCCTACACTGTAAGGATTGATACGTGTTTACTGTGATGTTGAAATTAGTTTGATAATGCAGATATCTCGAAAATCTACTACCTAATGAAATTTCCATTAGGATTATAACAGCAACGGAAACCCTAAGTTTTAAATAGGAGTTAATGTAGGTTGATATAATGAGCATTGTTTGTGGGTATCTTAAATTACATAAATTCCATTTTATTTATTATCCGTAACGTATGTGGTGCTTAAAGAGATTTACGATTCCAAATTATTACCCCCATGTCATCAAATATTGGTATTTAGTATCGTGATATTTTAGTAAACCACTGATATTAATAACATCATTAAACATATTTGTTGGCTGACCGATTTTGTGTCAAAGATAATCAACTCGAACTGTTTATCGAAAGATTAATTAATTAAACCACATGTCCCGAGATCGGGGTTACGCTCACACACGGCGTCCCTCTCAAAATCTCAAGACCCGTCGAGTCTTCTATCTCCACTCATGACAGTGAGAACCTTCCAGGAGTTTCCAACTCATGCGCAACCCCCTTCCTGCTGGCGTCGACGGCGGCACCAGAATCCCTTCTATTCCAACTGAATAGTCCACGCGCTGTGAACGTCGGGCGAGCTTGAACTTTTATCCGTCATTCAAAAAGCACGCTTTCGATGGAAACGTGATTCCGCGATCTTATGATAAAAAACTGGCGTGGGATGTGAGTTTTCGTGACTACACAAGGCGAGTGTAGAACGTGCGAAGACATGAATGGGGTTATTCTTCTAATCTCTTTCTCCATTACAACCAACTTCTTTAAAGGTAGCTTTAATAAGAATTAATTGTATAAAAAAAATATTTAAATTATATTTATGTTATTTGTTTTGAAAATCGGAAGTTACATTTCTTCGTTCAAATAACACTTTACAGACCCTTATTTGCAATTTGAATTGTAAATGGATATGCGGTGAGCCGCAAACGGCCACTTTAGCAATGTGCATGAAGTCACGCAATTTGTCTCTTTGTGGATATCATTTCTTCGTTTTATAATTTTTTTTGAGTTTACAAATGCAATTAGAAAGTCCAATTTCTTGTTTCTTATTTCTCGAAACGACTCAAAGGTTAATGATGCCTATTTTTCTTTCTCGTGACTTCACATAGTTGTCTTCATACTTCGCAATTGTTCCCGTTCATTCCCGTTGGTTTTCTGGTAAAGTACCAAGAAATGTTGACTTTGTCGGGAGCGAATTCAAAAATAAATCGTCCGGAATTCGCCCGTTTGAGGCAGACAACAGCAATGGTAATTGTTTTGGGTAAATAAATAACAGTTGTGTCTTTGTGAATAGTTACATTTTCGACATAAAACGTTTACAAAACACGTTTTGACATCATCACAAAAAAGGGAAAATTAATTAAAAATGTAATTAGAATGTTGTGCGAGTATAATGTTTGCTTATTCTTTTATTCGAGGCGCCGTTTTCAGAGGGCAAACCTTTTCCTTCCGTCTCGATGACGTTTTTCAATTTTTCCAGTCGCCGATCAAAACCCAAACCGTCGCGCGAGGCGCAATTAAAATATCTGTCACTTCCATTTATTTCGACACGACCAACCCGGTATTTCGATTACTAGTTCAACACGCGAATAAAATCGACGTCGGAGTGGATGATATGCCATTAAGAGTACCGGATTTGAAATTTAAAACATAAATTTCATTCGAACAGTCAAAAACTATTATTTTACATAGATATGGCATATTTTTCGTTTTTAGCTTAATTGGAAACTACACCCACAAAAACCATTAAGCACCATTTTTATCGTTTTCAAAAAAAAAATTTACATTAACTTTAACATACTAAATTTTTTGACGCCAACTTTTTCAGCGAAAAACAGACAGCGTTAGTGGTTTATTTCTGATAGACGACCTCTTTTAGATTTTCAGCATCAACCAAGGTTTTAGCATTCGCCGCAGGAAGATGTTAAATTTTATATTACCCAGAGCACCCGTCAATTCACCCTAACATTGTTGCCCTCTACTCGCAGTATGAGTATATATTTTAAATTCTTAACTTGTTTACTCCCACTCGCTAGTTTTTGGTAAACTTCCCCAACTACTACACAATATTCCAACGCTATATTGAATTAAAAAAAAAGATAAGCACATCAAAGTTAATTAATTATTATAATTTTAATCTTGGAAGTTATCCACGTTCTCAAGTTTATACGTTGAAATATTTAGCATGTTCAACAAGCGAATATAAACTAATAAACTTATTACAACATTACAAACAATCTGTGGCCGTAACGTTAATTTCTCTTTTTACAAATGCAGTTGTTGGTTTTAAATTATTTTGAACTTTTGCTGGCCGTGCAATTCTATAAACAACAATAACCACAACGTGCTCGGTTCGAGAGCAAAAATACATTTAAAAAATCAGCCGCATGCACAGGTTTAATTTAAATGTTCCTATTGTGTATAAACAATGCAGCGTTCATTTTGTGTTTATTTAAATAATTAAATAAATAAATAAATATATATTGTGGTATTCAATTTAATTAACATGTAAATTTAAATTCATGACTTTCCAGAGACTTTTGAGCAAAGTTAATGCGTTTCATTTATAACAAAAGTATATGCACAAATAATAAAACCAAAAGGTTACAAAATGTAATAATTTTAATGCACCGGGTGGAAAATCGTTTTGGCAAACACCGTCTAAAATATTACTTCACGTTACACAACTATGATGAATATTACAAAATATCTCGAAAAGCAGAATTAATGCAAACCAGTTTAAATCATAAAGTTTCATGGTAACAAAAAAAGCTACAGCGAAAACAAAGAGATTGGAGAGAGTAAAATCCCGCGGATTATATTTAGATTCGCACTCGAATGTCGTTTTATAGAAGGAGAACCATCTGGTCGCTTATATAAATTATTACCGCACCATCTGCTATCCTCTAGTGGCCGTGCACACCACCTCTAAGCGACAAATAAATAACACAATAAATCGTAATTCCTCTTTGAGTCCGAAACCGAGCTCTCTCTAGCGGCACTTTGGTTATTAATTGCTCTTGTTGCAAAAGTGAGCTCGTACGGAGATAATGTTCGGTGGACACCTTGGATACGGGCGCGAACATTGTTTACTAATGGGTATAGTTAGCCCAGCAGGTCACCCTGAACCCGATGTACATTTCATGCGCGGAGGGTATCGTGCTCGACTACGTTCTTTAATTAGGGGAAGCCCCGGAGTAATTGGGAACACTTTAGCAAACTATGCATACATTCAAAATTTCGTTATGGCCTGTATATTAAATATGCAAGCTGCACTTATCGCGATTAGTATTTCAAAATATCGAATTTGCATTCTATTCACCTTCAAAAAAATTCTGACAGCAATAAATTTCATGTCCTTAATATAAAACTCATTACGGTGATTGTAACAGAAAAATAAAAAAATGATTTCATAAGCGTAGGAACGGGACATGAATATGTATGGACGGACTTTCCAATGCCGCTGCTACTGGGTTATCTCGCAGCACAGCGCGAAATCTAATCAAGCCATCCTGGGCGGTCTACGTAGGCACGTTGACTCATCAAATTATGGCGGATTATGTTCTTACGGGGTCTCTGCAACCTTTCGCAATCAATAGAACGAGCGTTGGATACTGTATCTCTAGCCACAAAAGCCTTAATTCTTTTTCTATCCGTACTAACGATGCTTCTGGATTATAAAATCATCTGCAGGATTTTTTGTTATCTATATCAATTTAATGATTAGTATGAATTAAAATCAATGTATGAAAGAAGACTTTCTGCAAATAGTTATGCAATCTTGCCATTCCAATCTGTCAGACGCTACACGTTTCTATACATAGTTTCCTATACTAAGCATCATAACATAACGTCTTCCATCACATCATCTTTCCAATGCTCCAGTGCTGGACCATTGTGGTGTCAAATCTATAATTGTCTTCACTTTTCTGTGTTTCTTATGCAGACTAATCATTATTAACATAGCTTCATATCTTAAAAACATATTAATTCTTTTTGATTACCTTTTATCTCATCACTTCTTTAATAATTAAAATGTACACAATAATGAAAATTAACAAGGTGTGGTAAATAAAAAAGGGCTCGTACAAAACCCTCTGGTGATAATCCACTAAAATAAACGCATATGTGACATGGTGATTACAGATGATGAATGCTTTCGAGGGGCAAAAAGGTCTTTTCCGTTATTAAATCGGAGCAAAAACCGAAATTATTTTATGACCCTGCTGTTATTAGCGTATTACAGGGGAGGTAGAACAGGTCACGCCAACCGACGATGATGACTCGCTATATACCTCCATTTCTCGTCGACTGGTAATCCTTGTAGGTCGTTAAAAATTATTGAGTATTACGCTGGGTGGTAGTTATGAACATGTTCGTAAACGAGATTGTGCACCCGATAAAGGTTGGCATTATATTCCAATAAACCCGATGATTCATATTTTTTTTGTGTGTAGGGCGTGTTCTTTTATTATTAATTTTAGTAAATTGGTGTAATTTGCTAATAAGAAAAAAATGTATACACGGAAATAAAAAGGCAAGGGTATTTTTGGAAAGCTTAAATTAAGTGTGCAACGTAAAAATAAAGCTCACAGAACATAAATAAGCGTTCTGAATCCGATAAGCGTGAGCTCCCTACCAACGGTTATATATCAAGGGAAGAGACACATTTAACGACCTTGTAAATTACCCCTAAAGTGTAACAAAATGAATTTATTTAATTTAAATTTAATCCTTATTTGAGATTAAGAGAAGATTATTCTCTTACATGAAACTTCTTTTATATTAACTTTTTGTCTTAAAACTTCAGGGTAAAGTAATAATTTTATCGGGAAAACTTTTTTGTAACCAAACTTAGCACTTCCATCTAAAACTAACTTCTAAGAACATCGCTTATAGCGTCTGAAGTTATAGATTTCGCAGCTTCGAAACGAATAGAACCGAATACACGAGGTCCAGATGTGCCGAATGATAAATCGACCATCTACGTTTATTTTCGGAACGAAGATCTCGTGTTGTGACCATCGGTGACTAGACGGCGTGTCACCTGCATTTACCGACAAAGAAACACCGTAAATACTATTTATACAACATATACGACACGGTAAATCCGGAAGTCTGGAGAAAACCTTGTGTCTTAGTTCTATTTGCACTGCAATTACCATTCATTCTCAGAATAAAACGGCAAAACGGAGTAAAAGAAACCTTTAAATGTCAAGTGGGTAAATGAAAGGGCTCGTTGCTCCTTTTCTAGATTCTCTCCGCAAGATCCGAGACTCGGGATATTTTAGTCTGTAAAATCTTAACGTTTACCTCCTACTAAAGTTACACCACTTTAACATTTTAACTTTAACTTACTTTGTTCAAAGTAAAATCTTATTCTAAAATGTTCCATATTAACTTAGTTTCTAATACATAAAAAATTTAAGTGGTTAATCAATACGAGAGGGTAAAGTTGTGAAACCACTTCCGGTTTTAGGGCAACGCCAAAAGCCCTTTGCGTCGCAAACGCAAGGTGGCGAAAACAAGTATTTGTACAGTTCCGTAATGTAAACACGATGTTTACGCCGGGGAAATTATATTTATTTACTTTGTTTATTCTGGACGCGAGACGAAGAGGGGAAGTTCGTCGTGTGGAACTTGACGCGGTTAACAAACTGCGAGTGTTATAAAAATATTTCGTGTTTGCTTAGTTCTAACTACATACACGCTCACTCCACAGAGTTTGCCGTCGTCGTAGTCCCTATATTTGTCGATGGCGTGGCACGTA